ACTCCCTACACGTTTCAATAGAATTATCATTTTAGGTTTAGGGAATAGTATTTTACTCTATGTCATATTAGCTGCATATTTTAAAGTGTACTTTCTTCTGTTAGTACGAAGATAAGTCCTGTACAAGTACAACACCACTTGTCACTTGTCTCCATACTCCGAGTAGTCCGTCAGCCTCCCGCGCGTTGCACGTGGGAAAGATATGGCATTTATTCGTGTTGAAATATTTCAACTTTATAAAATTTGACCATCGCAAATGTCATTCCAAATGGGCATTAATTACCACCGTTTCCAAAACGGTGTCTTTATTACACAATTTGTTTATTATATAAAATTGATGGCCCATTTCACTACGAAATATTAGACCACGATTGAATTTTATTATAAAAAAAATACCAAAACCATCATTTATTTGAATATTTTTTTTTATCATTCATATTTTACTTCGGCATCACAATGCAAAATCGTTATTTAAATCCAATTTTCTTTGACTCCCTTTATACGTGTTAGATGTTTGTGACTAAGAGATTTCAGGAAGACGCCTTGTGATGTGATCCTAGATGTCCGCATCACCTTGGGAATTGCATTTCATCCAAGGTAAAACAAAATACAATTTATACTATATGTACCTATAGTTCAAAATTTGAATAAAACCGGAAATTAACACAAAATTAACAATCTTCCCCATAAGATGGAACCAAAATCCAACAATCATTGTAGTTTTTTAGACAAGATTAAGAAACAAAAAAAAAACAAAATATGATCAAAATATCTAATTTAGTATTTATCAATCGAAATATCCAATTTAGTATTAAAAACCCAAAATCTGAAAATATATGAAGCATATACTCGTATTAATTCTAGCAATAACGACTAACGCCCACGCAAGTTGTAGGAAAAATTGCATGAATCATGCACTTATTGTGAAAGACGTGAGTACCTTTGGTGAATTCAATTGCTCTTTCAATGATGTAAAAATGGGATGAAGAAATGCATGCATCTGTCTGTCTATGCATGTATGTATGCGACTCACCGAAAAAGGGGCAAAAATATAATTGCAATACATTAATACTAAGGTTAAAAGTTGAAAAAATAAAATAAAATTGAAGAGGTAGGAAAGTTGTAAACTAGATTTTGGAAATATAGATTTATTTATAATTTTGGTCCTCATTATTATTATTATTATAATAGAGAAATGTTTTTCTATTATGATAATGAGAAGAATACATCATAATATATAGCAAAATACAATAAAATATTTTAGGCATAATATCTAGAGTAAATCATAACAATATTAATGATAATATTCTAAGAATAATATCTTCCTATATGCCCCCTCAAGATGAATCATTTATGATGAATTCAATCTTGTTACATAAAAACTAAAAACTGAAATTGTGATCGTATTAAACGAATCATCTTCCATGTGCTGGTGTAGTCCAGACTTGAGTTGGTGTTGCTTGATAACGTTTGAAGAGCTTGAGAGTTGTATTCTCAGAGGCTGATGTGGCACGGATGTGCGGCGCATATGCGCGAGTTGGGTTGCGCGACAATGAGGTCGGCAGCGCAAAAAAAATTGCCATGTGGATAGCGAGCGGCTAGGCCGGAGAAAAGAAAAAAAAAAATGGGCGCAAAAGCGCGACGCATAATGCGTGATAGTCTAGCAGCGAGACAAGAGAAGAAAATAAAAATAAGTGACGCAAATACGTGGATCGACGATCGGAGTTTTCCAATCGAAAGAGGCTAATAGCCATATTTAAAGAGCTTACAACGGTTAGGGTTGACGTCGATAAACGAACGTCGTCAGAGAAAAAAAAGAATAGCACATCGGCTAAGGTTGACGTCGATAAACGAACATCGTCGTTAAAAAAAAATAGCACATCGGCTAGGGTTGGCGGTGATGAACACCGTCATCGGAAAAAAAAATAGAAGAAAAAAAAAGAGCAAAATAAATTTAAAACGATACTCAAGACGATGATACTATTGGATTTAGTACATCGTTGTCATCTTCATCGTCGCTTTCAGATTCGACCGACATTGTTGATGAGAAGGAAAAAAAAAATTAGAGCAAAAACTGAAGCTTTGATACCATAATAGAGAAATGTTTTTCTATTATGATAATGAGAAGAATACATCATAATATATAGCAAAATACAATAAAATATTCTAGGCATAATATCTAGAGTAAATCATAACAATATTAATGATAATATTCTAAGAATAATATCTTCCTATATATTATTATTATTATTATTATTATTATTATACAACTAGCTATAAATTTAAATAAAAATGAGCCAAGAAATCTAAGGTAACAATGTATTTTTACGATTTGGACCCAATCTTTCTTATATGAGAAAATTTTATGGGATTTTTTGAAAAAAAAAAGTGAAAAATTATTTTTTCGGACGATTCATGTATTAATACACAAACTTATGAAAAAATCTCAAATAAAAATACAAAGTTAAAACTTCAAAAAAATACACGAACTTTTCAATTTCTACATTAAAATTTGAATTTTTTAACAATTCTTACGGTGAATTTTGGATGTCATTTAAAATTTTAGAATTTAAATTGATAAAGATTTTTGAAAATTGTTTAAAAATCATTGACTTCATTTTATTAATTTTAAAAGTTAAGGGTTTAGTATAATAAATTAGAAAGAGCTATATATTTATTTTGATAATTTTAAAATTCATGTATTTATTTGTAATTTTTTTTATTGTATCAATATACTATTTAAAAAATATAATCTATTTCCTACTGTCCTAGAACCACATGGACCACTTCAGTCAAACATGCATAATATAATATTATTACCTACTTTTGCGTGATTCTAGTTTTCAAAATCCTCAAAGTATTTTACTTCTGTGTCGCACCTTATCGTATCGAAAACGAGAGAGAGAGAGAAGCAATGGAGAGGGTTATAGGGGTTGCGTACGGAGGCGTCGTGAAGGCGATGTTGGCGTTATTGGAGAGAAACATGATTCCGGACGCGGTGGTTCGGCGGCTGACGCGGTGGCTCCTCGCGGCGAGGCTCCGCTCCAGCTACAAATCCACGGCGGAGCTCCAACTCTCCGACCTCCTCTCTTTCATCAAGTGTATGTGTCGAATAATCAAGTTTTTCTCTCTTTTTTTTTAATGAATAATATAAAAAAACAAAGGCAGGGTTTAGAGTTTTGGGTTAATTTTAGGGTTTTTCGATATGGATTTGTATTATATGTTCAACGACACGACATCTAATAATTTGTTGTTTTCTTGTGTTTTAAAACCCAAAAAAGAAAAGGAACAAAAATATAAGCGACAAAATATGTGGTTTTAGTGGTCTTGATTTTGATTTTTAAAGAGTTGGGGACAATTAGTGTACTTTATTGTACGGATAAGGAATGAGGTCTTGAATGGGGTCTTATGAAAACGACTAGGTCAAGACTAATGCTGGTTCAGAAACGTAGCCTAACTACTGCCCATGCTACAGCTTTCCCCACGATAATTTAGCTATTATATTGCGATTTCATAGATAATGAGCGTAATTACTTCCCCATGGTGAAGGACATACATGCACGCATGTTTTCCGTACGTAGCTACGTTCGCTCGCATGGTGGGAAAAGACACGAGCCAAATCATAAAGACTACTCGCACGATTTACCAAGTTTAGGGTTCTTGTGAAATTTGTGCACAGAAAAAGTAATGGGTTGTGTTGCGCTTGTTTGCATCGTGTAATTAAGCTTATGTCTCTTTCTTTTCTGAAACCTGCAGCGTTACAAGAGATGCCCATAGCGATCAAGACTGAGGAACCAAAGGCTCAGCACTACGAATTGCCAACCGCTTTCTTCAAGCTGGTTCTTGGAAGAAACATGAAATATAGGTATGGGTTTTCTATCCATGAATGAAAGCTGAAACCTTTTCTCATCTCCCGTTAACACGATCAATAACGATTACTGGATTTGTCCCCTGAGTTGGTGCAGTTCTTGTTACTTCTCCACGAATTCAACAAGCTTAGATGAGGCGGAGGAAGCAATGTTGGCGCTGTATTGCGAGAGAGCGGATGTGAAGAATGGTCAGACTATTCTTGATGTTGGGTGTGGCTGGGGGTCATTGTCTCTGTACATTGCCCAAAAGTATAGCAGTTGCAAGATAACCGGCATATGCAACTCAAGAACGCAAAAAGAGTTCATCGATGAGCAAAGCCGGTATGCAAAATTCTTCCTAGGCCTCCTGTTCTAGAATTTGATATGTGAATTTTATTGTATTTTGTTGTTCTGTATGCCTTGCAGGAAACTTGTGTTGCGAAATTTGGAGATTATTGTCGCTGATATTAGCTCGTTTGAGCATGAAGGAACGTACGATAGAGTGTTCTCCATCGAAATGTTTGAGGTTAATCATGAAAAAACACTTTGCATATTTATTAAAAAGAGTAAGATTTTGAGGATGTCGGTTTTTACTTATGTTGTGTATATATAGCATATGAAAAACTATGGAGCTCTTCTGAAGAAGATATCTGGGTGGATGAAGGAGGACGGTCTCCTGTTTGTTCACTATTTCTGCCACAAGACATTTGCTTACCACTTTGAGGTATGCATATCTATATATATATATATATATATATATATATGTCTAATGTTACTTTATATACTTGTCATATAACATATGATATTATATGATGACTTTGTATGTATAGGATGTCAATGACGATGATTGGATAACAAGGTACTTCTTCAGCGGAGGAACAATGCCGTCGGCTAATCTCCTTCTTTATTTCCAGGTGATATATTTGCCATGCAACTCTTCTCTATATGTATATGTATGTATAGAGTTATCATATCTAATCGTTCATCGTTAGGAAAACGTTTCGATTGTTGATCATTGGCTTGTGAACGGGAAGCACTACTCGCAAACAAGGTAAGCCTATCCAATTTTTACTTTCAATGATCTCATCGAAAGGTTTATCTTTACGCATAGTCTCCTAAAAAAAAAAAAAAGATTAGAGACATCTATGACATTCTTTCTAATCTTTGTGTTCATGTTTTTTTTTAAACATCTTTTGTCAAATCTACTCTTTTGTTTTTGGATTTAATTTTTTATTTTGCTTTTTGGTGCAGTGAAGAGTGGTTGAAAAGGATGGACAAAAACTTGGAATCGATCAGTGAGATTATGAAAATGACTTATGGAAAAGAGGAAGCGGTGAAATGGAGAGTTTATTGGAGAACTTTCTTCATCTCTGTTGCAGAGCTCTTCGCTTGCAACAATGGCGACGAGTGGATGGTTTCACATTTTCTGTTCAAGAAAAAATGATCTTTTGTCTTAAACTAATAAGACAAATCTTTGATACGAGGGGTTCATTGTAATAATAAGATGAACACTATCTATCCATTGAAACTTCTTCACGTAGAGTTTTAGTTAATATTATCGGTTCTTTTTTTCCACACAAAATAAACAGATGTTTTGAATAATTGACTCTATATATATATATGTTATAGAGAAATCAAATGGTTCAAAAAGTCAAGGAAAACATCTAAAACATTTAAATTAAGCAAACATAAATATATTTAATATTGAAAAATAAAAAATTATTTTTCTACAAATTAAAATATGAATCTCAATAAATATTGTTTTAATGGAAATAAACATTATGACAAAAAAAACGTGCCAAAATATGCAAATAATACATCGTCTTCACTTTTTTTTTAATGTAGTTAAATTTATTATTCTATACAATGTTATTGTACAATTTTTATATTTTTTAATAACTTTTTTATACTCTTAATATTATTAAATTCTACGTAATATCATGTGATCATGATAAAATTATTATCAAATCAAAATTGAATAATCAATTTTTATGATTAGAAATTTATTTGCCATATTTTAAAAGTATAGATATTTTACTATTAAATATTCTAAATATAAAATTTCAGAAAATAAAAAAGAATATGATTAAAATTGTGATGAGAAAAAAGTGTACGTTTTTAATGAAATTTTCTCTAAATATAAATACAAAATCAGGTCCTTTCAAAACTATTCTACTTTTTTTTTTATCTAAAATACGTGTGTGTACATGCGTGTGTGTATATATATATATATATATTACCTTTTCAACTATATAAATTTAAATTAATAAATATTGTTTATTCAATTGAACAGGATTTATAAGTTTCTTCTTACTGTTCAAATTAACATAAAAAGTTAGGTTGTTACATTTTTTAATTTTATTCCACGGTTTAATAGATAAATTTGCATATTATATATAGAGTCTCTATAAAATATTGAAAATGATGTTGGTTAAACCCATTTTGACGTCCTACTAATTTTTTTTTAGACCTATGTATATTTCTATCCTTTTGGTTTTTTATCTGGACCCAAGAACATCGGAGAGTGTTAGGTAATATCGTGAGAGATAAAATTTGATTTCCCTTTTTTTTTTGTAGAAATAGGCACGATACAATTATAAATTTATTTTGTATTGACATATCAAGCGTGGATATATATAAACATTGGTTCGAAGATAATTACAATACAATTCAGTCTAAGAAAATGATATATACATGCATTATGCATTTATTATGCATGTATATAATATTTTACTCGCCACTTCATATTCGTTACATGTTTTTTAAATGTATCTTTTCTTTTGTATGAGGACAATTGTTGTACAACATTATAACCCAAAATTTAGAACAAGATTTTGGTTTTAGATTTGGATTCAGATTCGATTATGTTACCGATTTTCACAGGTAATCCAAATCAAGGGGTGATGGGGTGAAGAGAGATAAAATTCATGGCCTGTTCACTAATCCGCATGAATATTAAAACCATAGTTGATTCGAATATTTTTGTATCGATCATAATTTATTTACTTAGGCACCAAAATGCGAAATCATTATTCATTCGTACATCCAAATTCTTGTGTCTCTCATTGGAAAATGGTGGTTGTTGTCACCAGCATTAGTAGGGCCTAAACCCAACCCATTGGGAATATCGAAATAATCAAAGTTTCAAATCGTTTTACACATGCCGATAGGATGCCTACTATTACACCATCTTTTACTACATTTTTTTTTTCTTTGTATCATCGATCGGTCTTTGAATTCCGAGTGTTTTGACTAACAATGGAGAGTGTTGTAGGGTTTGTGTACGGCACCGCCGCGAAGAAGATAACGGCCTTGTTGGAGAGAAACTTGATCCCGGAGACGGTCTTAAGGCGGCTGGTGAGGTTGCTCGTGTCCGTACGACTCCGCTCTGGTCTCAAACCCACGGCCGAGCTCCAGCTCTCCGAGCTCCTCCGCTTCAAAAAATGTAAGCGATATCTTATTACTCTTTCTTGGCCGCTAAACCATTTGCAATTCATCCTCAAATCTCGAAACTTTTATCTGGTTTACCACTAGGGTTGGGAAAAAGTAAAAGAGAAACATTTTTACGTGTAAAATCCAAATGGAAAAAAAATCATGGGAATGATCAATGCAAATCTACATGTCTCTTTCTTTTCTGAAACCCTGCAGCTTTAGAAGAGATGCCCATAGCGATCAAGACTGAGGAACCAAAGGCTCAGCACTACGAATTGCCAACCGCTTTCTTCAAGCTGGTTCTTGGAAGAAACATGAAATATAGGTATGGGTTTTCTATCCATGAATGAAAGTTGAAACCTCTTCTCATCTCTCTTTAATATGATCAATAACGATTACTGGATTTGCCCCCTGAGTTGGTGCAGTTCTTGTTACTTCTCCACGAATTCAACAAGCTTAGATGAGGCGGAGGAAGCGATGTTGGCGCTGTATTGCGAGAGAGCGGATGTGAAGAATGGCCAGACTGTTCTTGATGTTGGGTGTGGCTGGGGGTCGTTGTCTCTGTACATTGCCCAAAAGTATAGCAGTTGCAAGATAACCGGCATATGCAACTCAAGAACGCAAAAAAAGTTCATCGATGAGCAGAGCCGGTATCCATATACACATACATCTCTCTCTCTCTCCACCCATATATGTTCATCTGTAGCCTCCAATAGTATAGTGACTGGTATCATGACACTATCTTTGCTTTGCTATATACACGTTGAAGGCAACTCGGGCTGCAAAATGTTGAGATAATTGTCGGAGATATTAGCACGCTTGACCATGGAAGATTTTACGACAGGGTGTTCTCAATCCAAATGTTTGAGGTGGGTATTTTAATGTAACCGTGTTTCAGAATGATTTTGCTTTGATAAAACCCTTCAAACCGTGATAGCATATGAAGAACTATGGAGATCTCTTGAAGAAGATATCCATGTGGATGAGGGAGGACGGTCTTCTCTTTGTTGAATATTTCTGCCATAAGACATTAGCTTACCACTTCGAGGTATGTCTAATTTAGCTTCTTGATGTTTCTCCATAACAGAAAATTTCTTAGACACTTTGGTTTTACGAAACTGTGTAACGAGAAACACAAGAGTTTGTGCTCTGTCTTAAAACATGGATGCATGCGGATGAGATTTACTGTGCGAACTTGATTCTTTGTTCCACAATAACATTTTGTCATAGGTAGTTACACAATTGATAACATTGTTATCGGCAATTAGGGGTGGTCACGAATAGATATCCTGGAGTTTTAGCAAATGACTTCATCTCTAATGCATTCTCGATAGCTGCGAATAAGCCCTAATTACAAAAATTCAAGATAGGTCTATGTCTACTTATATATACTTAGATTCAGAGAAAGAAAAAGAGAGCCGTGAACCGATAAACACTTCCGAGAGATGTAGTACACCTCAATTGGAGACAAACCTCAATCGGATCAACAATCCTTTTCCAATGTTGAAGACGAAAAATCAACAAAATTATACTATTTATATAATGCCCTCATGACGCTACTAAACATAGAAAATACTCTCACACACCAACATAAGACTTTTCAACGTGTTTTATCCTCTCTCGCATATATACCGAAAAACACTTTCCAATAGATTACCCATACTTAGATTGTTTCATAACGAACACACTTATCTTTGGAGTTTTGTCGGAATAGGTAATCGAAAAAGTACGTACACTTTGTTGGTATAAGTAGTTCAATCAATTTTTTTAAATTAATTCTAACTGTGTAATCACATACCTACACAATCATCAAATATCTTTCATTACGGTGCATTCGATTCATTTTTGTACCCCTCTGGTCTAGTGGTATTCAGGAAGCCATTTTTTATGGGTTTTTTTACCCAAATAACCCACTTGGGTCGCATCTATTTCACATGTACACCACCGAAAACATAACACATTTTTTTTTCCCGTGAAAAGACGAAATTACCCTTAATGAATTACGATATTTATCCGTTCGAAAACAACTTCGTTATTACGACTTCGTAATTAAGTCTAAATATAGTTACAAATGATTCTAAAAAAGGTGGCAAAAAAATCATCTGTCTTATTTTAGTTGTATATCAGTTATATGTTAGTCGTAATAAGATCGCAAAAAATAAAACGAAAAAGGGTATTTTGGACTTTTCCAACCGAAAAGTGGGTTAAAATTGAAAATTTTTTTTTTCGATGGTGTACACTGAAATAGATGCGACCCAAGTGGGTTATTTGGGTGATTTTCCCATTTTTTATCCGTCTATTTATATCGGCGGTCACTTCTCACTCTCATCCTATCTCGATATGTCATAAAATACAAGCTTTGTGTTACAAAGTATAATTATATAAATGTTCGATGAATTGGTTTAAAGTTAAAAGTTATACCTTCTTCAAATTTTTCGAGGTCATTTTCTAAAGTAATTGGTGCATAATATTTTCGAAGCCAATATTACGTACAAATTAGAGTTATTTCAAGACGAGTCATAATCAATTTGTGCCAAGATTATTATTTAACTTTGAGGGCATGACGTGTTAATACTGAAACTTTTGTAATTTCACATTGTTTAGGATGACAATGACGATGATTGGATGACAAGGTACTTCTTCACCGGCGGAACAATGCCATCAGCCAATCTCCTTCTCTATTTCCAGGTATTAATTTCCAATGTAATTGAAATCAACTGCATATATGGTATGTATAAATATGGAAATTATAAAAAAAAAATCTCATATTGTTTTTAATTTTATTTTAAAGTGAATCTTCATGAGAAAAAAAAGTTCACTTTATTTATACCTTTATAGATATGTATTTCCTAAATTATCTTTTACTTTTCCTTTTTTTCTTTCTCTCCTCTTGCTTATTTATTAATTACATTTTGTTTCTCTTGATCGTACTAACCTGTTGACCATGTCGACCATATGATCTTGTACGATCATGTGACCTTACGATTATATGACTTATGTGATCATGTGTGACATATACAACTATATGGCCCATAACTTGTTATGAGATCCATATGATCAATATTCTATTATCTTAAGCTTACCGAGTTTCACAATTTGATTTTTCTTTAACTCTCATTATGTCTTCATGCTTAACGTCGACGATGAGTATATTGAAGGAGATGAAACTATTTCAAATCTCCTTTGAAATCATTTTTTCTCTTACTTTGTCTCAAAATTATAAAATTTGAAAGTTATGAGCCATCTTTTGAAATTGTTGGGTTAAATGAGAGGTTTTCTTTTGTTTTCTGCTATTTTTTCGAAAAAATTTCATCGTACCGAGGGAATAAATGATTGGCACACATACTAAATGACATAAAATTTTCATTTTGCAAATTGTTTTAGAAAATTAGGATTTGGAAATTATAGTGGTTGAAGTGAAAGTATCTAACGGTGAATGTCTTTGCTATATTGTCGTATAAATATCAATTATTCACGTATATGTTTGTTGATTCATTTTTTTTTCTCTCAACACAAGTAGGAAAACGTGTTAATAGTTGATCATTGGCTTGTGAATGGGAAGCACTATGCACATACAAGGTAAGGCTCGAATATCTTCAATAAAACCTGGACAATATTTTTATTACAAGACCTTATTCACTGAAAAACTTCAACAACATTTCCAAATGAGTGGATATTTTGTCTCTCCTATTTGTGTTCTTGCACTTTTTAAGATCTTTTATCGATTAGTTTTTGGATTTAATTTTGTTTTTGGTGCAGTGAAAAGTGGCTGAAGAGGATGGACAAGAACTTGGAAGCGATCAAAGAGATAATGGAAATGACTTATGGGAAAGAAGAATCGGTGAAATGGAGAGTTTATTGGAGGACTTTCTTTATCGCTGTTGCAGAGCTCTTCGGCTACAACAATGGCGACGAGTGGATGGTTTCACATTTTCTGTTCAAGAAGAAATGATCTCTTGTCTTGACTAATAAGACAAACCTTCAATAATATGAGAGTTTCATTGTAATAATAAGAGATGAAATCTACGATTTTGTCATGCACAAACATAGTATAGTGAAGTTTTCATTTTTAAGATAAACTCCACTTGGAGTTGATATACAAAGACCCATTTTTCATTTTTCAACAATCTTCAAAACTCAGAAGGAAAGTTTGCATCTTTGCGTTCTTGCAGTTATATTTATTTTTTTTGCTTTTTCTGAGAATTTCGGGGGAAGAAATAAGAAATGAAAAATTATGAGACAAGCGACTTTGTAATCAAATGGATCAATGTTATTACAGTTGTAAGATTGTATTTACTTCTTATGAAATTTATCTCCATTTCTGAAAACTTTATTTGATTCATCTACCTCACAATGTCTTCTGGACTTCCCCTTAGTTGTAGTTCTCTACCCTATGATTTGGTAAATTTTGTCATTTCGAATTTCTTATCTCGATTTTTTCACGATTCATTACCTCTAAATCTTAATTTTTGTGTTTTCCTTAAATTTTAACTAATAATCTATAAATCTTCAAATCAATGATCTTCATTTCTTCTTATATATATATATATATATTGGTTATACTTATATTGTATATATCAATATAATTTATACATATATATACTTGTACGTTGTTATATTGTGAATGTTTTTATTCATTTGCAGACGGATCATAATCGACCAAATATTGGAGCTAAATCTAACATTAGATATAGAAGAAATCAATGTCAAAATCAAGTTCCATTGATACAACCTAAACCTGATGAAAATTAAAAAATCATGATCAAGAACCAAAACCAAAAGGGGTATATATGTATTTAGTGTTATATAGTCAAGTATTGGTACAAATTTAAATATTTTATCTTAATTATTTTTAATAACACGAGTTTTGTGTTAACCACACACTGATAAAATATTGGAGGGATAAAGAAAAACTAATGATACAAAAATTAGTTGTAAAACAACAATTAGATATATATATAGTTATAAAATTAAATATTTAACATATATTAATAATTCAATTTTGGTATTATTATTTTTCTAGTATAAAATATTGTTGGGTTGTAGTTGTACAACTAATGTATAATATTAACAAAGATGGGCTATATGTAGGAGTTTGAATTTGAATAGTTTGTGAAAATCATAAAATCATATAAAGTGAAAAGGCAAAATATAGATAAGATAGAAAAATAATTTCAAATATGTATCCTGAAAAGACGTGAAGAAAAAGAATTCTACGACATCTATCAAAGTATTTCAATATATAATATTGTTTATAGATTTAATGTCGAATTTTCATTTAAAATAAATTTTATTTTTGTTCACTTAATCAATGCATGCATTATAAAAAAAGAACTAAACATTTTGATTATGGATTCAAATTCATTAGAAAAAGGGGAATATGAGTGGTTCAGTAGCACATTATGAGAAAGAAGAATTTACCGCATAAGAAAATCCTACCGAAGACTTTATTAAATCAAAGATTGACATTTCTCTTGTGGGACTCGTAATTGGTATATCACAAGACCGTAAAGAAGCGAGGTTAGTAAAACTTTAATACACACATATATATATACTATAAAAATATTTAAAATATTATTAACTAAATTAAATCCATCGATATCAGTATAGAATTTATGAGAACACTATCACGGATTATCAGTAAAAAAGGATAGAATTTCATGCCATGTTGATTGTCAGATATAGCAAGACAATAGACAGAAGAACATTTTACCTTGTTCAAAATTCTTGAGAGGTCGTTTGGGGCAACAAAGGTTTCACACGTATCGTGATTATAGGTAGGTGCACTATACGTTTCCCGCGGATACTCTAAATTTAGTTTACATGTTTTTTTATTATACAAATGATGGAGTTTGCAGCCTTTTTATTTTGTGAAATGTTCTTGAAAACTAAACTAATTCAAGATAGGATTTGTATAATCTGTTTTACGCAAATTCTATAGTAAATCTACAAACAAGTTTGTATATTGAAATACCTTGATAGATGTTATAGACTTGTCATTCTTCACATTTTTTTGGGATACATGTTTTATAACGTATTTGAGATTAAAGTAATTTTCTTGTTCTCGTGTGTATTTTTCTTCTTCACTTTATATGATTTTATCATTTTCACAAATTTTTCAAATTCAAACTCCAACATATATGATCCATTCTTATAAATGTTTAACATATATTAATAATTCAATTTTGGTATTATTATTCTTCTATTGCAAAATATTGTTAGACTATAGTTGTACAAGTATTGCACAATATTAATAAAGGTGGATCATATATTTAGAAGCTTGAATTTGAAGATATCTTGTAAAAATTATAAAATCATATAAGGTGAAGAAGTATAATGCATGTGAGGCCAAAAATTTTTTTAATCTCAAACTAATTATGAAACATGTCTCCATAAAAAGGTGTAAAAAGAAAGAAGTCCACCACATTTGGTTGCTCCATCAATAGCTCTCTTTTCAAACTTAGTTCCTTCTCTTATTCATCAAAAATATCATGCGACAATAAGGAACAAAAACTTCTAGAAGAAGAATGTTTTAGAATCTTCCAAAAAGTCAACGATGCACGAGAAGAGAAATAACAACCATCCGATTCCTTTTGGCGTATTTTTCCGTTTGTTTAAGACTCTATCTTCTATGAAGATATTTAATTTGGAAAACAATAACTTTAGAGTTTGAGATTATTTTTTATATCTTTTTTGGTAAAGGTTATATTTATATTTATTACGAAATCTGACGGGATTGTGCTGACATGGTATCAAGTTGCTGATACGGACAATATCACGTGAGAATAAGCTATATATCCACGCGCCTCCAAAACCATTGGACGAAATCCAATTTCGTGTATCTACGCGCCTGATGTTGCGAGTGAGATTTTCCAAAAGGATCATCTATGTAAGACGTTATCATTGGATGTGTTGGGCCGCATCAGCCCGTCTAAAACCCATTTATTATTGCTCACGTTGAATGATTCATGCCCCATAATGTCACAAATAATTTTACTATTTACCAATAATTATTTTAATTTTCCGGAACAAATAACAACTTGTTCTTTAGTATAGACAATATAATTTTGAAAAATGCAAAAAAAAAAATGAAAACAAGATGAACCATGTTTTTTTGGTCAATATATATATAGGACAATATAAATGTTCTTGCATACTGGAGCATTTGAAATATCTGCGAGCTCTTCATTACAAATATGGTCTCCACTCCATGGCATTGTGCTTTCTGATCTGTTTACCAGATTGCCTTTGGATCTTTTGCGTATTAGCTTTCCGTTCGTATCTGGAGGCTCTCTATTACCCTCTCCTGATGGAGTATTAAGAGTGTACGAATTCTTTTGTGAATATTAGGGGTGGTCGTTTCAGAATTCGATTCGAAATTTTAGTGGTTCGATTCGGAAACAATTTATTCGGTATTTTAAAATTTGTATCAAATTAGTACCGTATATTATTTGGTTCATTATGGTTCGGTTTTGATTTTTGTTAAAAAAATATTTAGATTTTCTTAAAAAAAATTAGTTTTATGAGAATTTTATAAAATTTGGTTTGGTACGATATTCTGTTCCGAAGAACTGAACAGAAACCTCACCCCAAACCTCACCCCAGTGAAAATTAATACAAATACAATTTTTAACAAAAAAATATCTGCGAGATACGTAAGGTTAGGGTAATAATAATAATAATAATAATAATAATAATAATAATAATAATAATAATAATAATAATAATAATAATAATAATAATAATAATAATAATAATAATAATAATAATAATAATAATAATAATAATTCAACCAGTCCGATAAAAAAAAGACCGGAAAAGTGAGGTCGCCCGGTCATTGTTTATGGAAAAAGTTATATATTATTTTATAAACCACATGAAATAATTATAATTATTATGTGGAGTCATCGTTTTATACTGGTATTAAAAGACCAAAACCGTGTAGGAGGCCTCTTTTAAATATATCGACATAGTTTAGAGAGATCTAAAACTTGGTTCTTGAGAAATCCATCTGGAAGATCTCCCTCTGGTCAGTGCTTGTTGCCTCTCTCTCTCTATATATATATATATACAAACAAATATATATGAGTCTATATATATATGTGTGTGTGTGTGATTTTATGCCATATTTTTCGCCCCAGAAAAAGCTATTAAAGTTTAGATCTTCGTCTCTTCCGTTTGCAATGTTTTGATTATAATGCTAAGCAAAATTAACAATACATACATATATATATATATATATATATATATATATATATATACGATGTAATTTGTCAAAGTCAAACAGTTAATCAGAAGATTGTTAATCTCTGCGTGGTGATGAACTGTAAACTAATTGAAAAATACAGTTTTTTTCTTATAAATTTCACTAATTCGACTATTTTTCTTTCCATAAAAATTGCTTAGGGCCCCCTGTTTCCTGTATATGGTTGTCTCTTGTCGCCATGCCGAGGCCAATACCTGTTGAAGGTACGTAAGCATTCCAACGAACAAACTAATATATATATTGTGCACATATATATATATATATATAAGTATGTATGTAAGCTCTCCTGCGTTCTCTATTTCACAGAAATGGTGAGACAGTTCAAGGGGCATCATCGGAATTCCCACATCTTTAGGATAGATAATTTCTCTTTATTCGGCAAGTATCAAATTCAAGAAATCGAATCTTCTATTTTCGACATCGGTGGACACAAATGGTAAGTATGCTTCTTGATGGCGTCTTAAGCCAATATATGATCATCATCTTTTCTAATCATCCTTCGTTTTTCGGCATGAACAAAAGGAAACTTGTTCTTTTCCCAAATGGAAATGCAAATGACAATGGAAAGGATCATGTTTCCCTCTACCTGGGAATACAAGACTCCGAGTCCCGGCCGTCGAACTGGCAAGTTAGGCTCGGCTATCAGCTTTTCCTTCTCAATCAATTTCGGCAAGACTGGCGAATGGAGCAAGGTGTATTGCTTCACTTCACTTTACTGTCATGCACATGATGATGCCTTCATTGTTACTAATTTTTTGACGATTAGGGTATCCGAATCTTTGATCTTACAGATCCTCGGACACGTTTCATGTTTTTGTGTCGAAATCGTAGGAAACGTTGTCTTCAATGCATCGAACCAGAAACGAGGTTTCTCGAGGTTGATGGCTGCTGCCGATTTTCTAAACCCTAATCGCGGATACCTTGTGGATGGATGCTCTTTGTTTGGCGTCAAGATCTTGGGTATGAACGACACAAAAGCTGGAACCGCTGAATGTTTTACGCTCGTTGAGAAGCCTCCGAACAACGTATTCTCTTGGAAGATGATGAAGTTCTCGGCCCTCAACCGCTCTTCCGAGTATACGTCCGATGAATTCGTGATCGGGGATAGAAAATTGTCAGTAATCTAAATACGTTTTCTTTTCTTTTTTGTTCACAAAGTCGAAAAATAACTTCGTGTTGCCGTATATGTATGAATGTATAACCAACCAGGAAAATACGGATCTTTCCACAAGGAACAACTGCTCCGGACAAGCTTGCGGTGTATTTGAGGGGAGTAGGATTGAAGAACAACACAACACCAAAGGCAAAGTGTTACACACGATTCAGGCTGCGAGTGTTGGACAAGATCAAAGGGAAACATGTCGCACATTCATGTAAGAACTTTGAGATCGATCGAAAAACCGGGTTTTCTTCCTTTTCGGATGATTTGATTTCGCGTATAACTTCGTTGCAGATACTTTCTGGTTCCCGGTAGAGCCAGGCGGACATGGCTCCCAGGGGTTTATGCCTCTCAAAGATCTCGCAAACCCTTCGAACTATGTGGTGAATGATACATTGTATGTGGAAGTCGAGGTCGATGTCATTTCGACGACCAAGTATTGTTAGCTCTTGGGTTATCATATTGTGAAATCCATGTCTTTATATGTGTTGAAGTCGTGTCTCTGTTTTGTTTTTTTTTTGTCTAAAAAGCCATCTTTTGGCCTTTTGTATTCTTTTATGGGGAAAATTTCATATATAAATATCTCAAACTCAGAAATGTGTCTAAAAAAATACTTTAATTATAATATACAAATGTTAAAATGTGTGAAATATGATTATAGTTACGGTTGTATTCGAGTATACTTTGACCACGCACATGGGTTCCTGGTTATTTTGTATTTTGGTATACAGTCGAAAAACTGGATGTATTTTACATAATACAAACCACATTCAACCAAAAATAAAAAAGTGTCAAAACTATGTAGATAAAATAAAAATAAAAGAAAGAGTGGAATCCATAAAAATAAAATCAAATATGGAAATCGAAATCGTACAATTTTGTGTTCTAAAAAAAATATAATTAAAGAAAAGCGAATTCATGTGATATATTTCTAAGGTGACTCTTTATTTTTGTAACCATTGTGACATGTTAATACCAAATCAGTATAATATATATAAATATGTCAAGTTAACAATCCATGTCGACAAAATTATTAAAAAAAAAATTAAATTCTTATAAATACACACACATATACAAGCATACACATAGGTATACATATATACATATGTACATTAGTACATATATTTATATGTATATAATATGTATATTTTGTACACAAGAATTTATTTTTAAAAAAATTGATCAAAATCATTTGTGAGGTAATATATTTCTATATGTGAGTGTGACAGGGATTTCACATTTTACAATAGTGGTAAAAATCATGTTAGCCGGAATCAGTGGATTTCTTATTAAATACGTAGTGCCTTGAATGATTCTGTCAAGTACCAATGCCTCCGGGGATATGACAACAAGGTTACGTATTTATTTTATAATTAAAATTTTATATTTTTATTTAGAATTTCTTTTTATTTAGAATGTTTTATAGTACAATTTATGATTTTACGAGATTCTTTGAAAAAAATAAAAAATAAAGAAAATTCTTTACAGAAATAATCATGACCATAAGCAGGCGGTTTGGGAATTTACCTAAAGTCTACATCAAAGTGATTGTTTATTCTCAATGGAATATATTCGTAACTAATTAAATCAAACAAAGTGTTAGAGAAAATAAAATAAATAAGTTATAAAAGCGGGCAGGAATTTATTTCCTAAGCACATTCTTTTTCTTTTGGAAGAGATAAGATAAGAGCCATCATATCATTAGAAATTATTTCACTTTTGCATTTCTTTAATCTCTTTTGGTATATATACGGAGATCTTTCGGTGGATTAATAAATTTACCCAAAAAAAAAAAAAAAAAAGTTACAAATTCGTTTCAATTGAAATCGCACCAAACCGAATTATAAAATTGAATGAGCGGTTCTCGAATTGAATTCGACAAACAACAAACCGAAATCGATAATAAGCAAATAAAAAACCGAATTATTCACCCTTATATACAAATGTTTAGATATCAAGTTTCGAATTTTTTTCAATATTTATATAACAAGACCATTCTAAATCTAATCGATACTGAAATCGAACCGATTAATATTAGTTTGATATAATTTTTTTTAAAATGGAATAAATCTATTTCAAAATCGAAACCGATGAAGGGAGGAAACGACACGTCATCCGAAATTTTTAAAAAAAAAAACAGTACTTATCCAAAAAAAAGAAGTCTCGTCTCACGCGTAACGTAGCATAAAACAACTTCACCAGACCCGTGAAGATCAGAATATTAGTCGAGACCCAGAGAGGAGAAAAAAAAAACACAGAGAGAACAAAAATGGAGGAATTCAAAGGTAAGCCTCGTCTCCCGAAGTTCGCCGTCCCCAAGCGCTACGATATTCTCCTGAAGCCCGATCTCGTCGCCTGCACCTTCGCCGGAACCGTCGCGATCGACGTCGACATCGTCGCCGATACTCGCTTCATTGTCCTCAACGCCGCCGAGCTTTCCATCGACGATGCATCTGTTTCCTTCACCCCTCGTAGCTCCTCCAAGGTACTTTTCTATTGTTCCTGGACGAATCGATTCTGGTCTCTGCTTCGTTTTATAAGATTTCGCAACTTTGGAGTTACGATCGGGTTTTGAGAATGGGATCGGAGTTGTGGTTTTTTGTGTTGTGGTCGATGAAAAATTGGCAACGGAGAGATATTGAGGGATTTTTATTTTATATTCGGATTAAGGTTTTATGAAAATTTGAGCGGTGAAATGCGGTTCATGGCTTTGGATTGATGAGGAGTTAGCAGCAGAGATAACCAGATTTTCATCTGGGTTTGTTCGACGTGATATTGTTATTGAATATTGATTGCTAGGAAAATAGTCAGCACATAGAATAAGCAATATGATGGTTTGAACTAGCTGGAGTTAAATTGCAGAAAGCAAGAAAAAATCTGTCTTTGACGGAATTCATAGCATTTCAGATGTAACAGAAATAAATTAGCGATGAAAACGTCTGATGCGTTCATTATGGGTTTATGTTTCTGGTTAAATTTTCTTTTACCATTCAAGCCGCAGAATCAGCGGTGAATTTTTTTTTTTGAATTTCTGTACTTTTGTCTCATCAGAAATTTAAGGTGATAGTATGCTGGTGATTATACCAAATTTATGGTTTTGTTAAACAGGCAGTAGCAGCTCAGAAAGTTACTCTGGTTGAACAAGATCAGATTCTGGTGATTGAATTTGCTGAGACTCTTTC